GTGTATGTTTGCGTATATGAAGGGACAGAAAAAGACACACACACACAGAGAGAGAGGGATAGAGAGAGAGAGAGAGAGAGAGAGAGAGAGAGAGAGAGAGAGAGAGAGGGCGAGAAAGAAGAAATGCATTCTTATCGGTAACACAAATTTTTTTTGTTTTTTTTCTTTTTTTTTATAAAAAAAAAAAAAAAAAAAAACGGGGGAAAATATTAAAATAATTGCAAATAAAACAAATTTAAACAAAAAAAAAAAGAAAAAACAGAGAATTAAGAAAATCTCTCCGCTTCATTAAGATTTTGAAAATTGTTTTGCTTTTATCAACTTTTTGGTTTTCTTTAAGGAAAATTCTCTTTCTCTTTATATATATATATATATATATATATATATATATATATATATAATTATTGTATATTTGTGGTGTGTGAGTGCGATTTATGATTGTGTTTGTGTCATAAAATAAGAGTTTTAAATAAACAAAATGCGAGTAACAATTAAAATACAATAACAATAGGATGCTAAAATTAATAATATTAATAATAATAATAATAACAATAATAATAACAATAATAATAATAATAATAATAATAATAATAAAAAATAAAGAAAATATCAAAAAAAAAAAAAAAAAAAAATGGAGGCTATATATATATGTGATTAAAAAGAAGCTTAACAGTGAGAGTGAGGATCGTTAAGAGACGGAAGAGAGAAAGTTTCAAGGTTTTCTACCTCATATAATAAATATATTGACCCCCTTCTCTTTACTTGGCTTGAATATTTATTTATTTTATATTTCTATAAGTGTATACGTATATATGTATATATGTATATTTATATTATATTATTCGCCTTCTTTTGTTTCTTACCGTTTAAACAAACATATGTATGTGTATAACACTGTCGCGCTATTTATACTATAGTATACTGCTTACTTTATATTTTTCTTTCATTATTTTGCTGTTTTATGTTTTGTATCTTAACAAAATCTATATACCCTATGTCTATATTGTTAGTGGATTTAAATTTGACTAATTTGTTTCAAATTAACCGGTATTTGTGAATACATAAAATAACATAAATTAAACAAAAAAAATAAATAAATATATATATATATATATATATATATATATATACGTATATATACGTAGTACGTAAGTACGTAAGTACGTAAAACTAAAAGAACTTCAACTATCGAAGTAAAACAACAATATATATGCTTATGTGCACACATATATATATATATATATATATATTGTTGTACAACTGTGAACACAGCGTATTCCACTATATTTACTATTATTATACGTATATTTACACTATGTCACATGTGTTACGTAGTTACAAATGATTAACGTAAGAACGTTTTTCAATATGTTTACGTACATCTATCTATGCATGCATATGCATATAAAGGCATTTAAGCGCAAATACTTCTATTAGTGCAGTACGTGTCGTGGCCAAAGGGTAGTAAAATTTATTTATTTATACGCACACTAATACACGCAAAGATATATCATGTACGTACATAAGAGATATGCAAATTAGATGTAGATGCAATCACTAGAATAGTGTAAGTAAATAAAGTGATTATCGCAAATAAATAAATAAATGAAAAAGAAAAGGAAAGAAAAAAAACCGAAAAAGAAAAGCAAAATAAGTGATAAAATGAAAAAACATGCACATACCTATTTTTTGCAGAACTAACAGTGAAATTTATTCGAAAACAAAACACGCAATTGCAATTGCATTTGCAATTAAAGAAGAACAACAACCTCTCCTGTAGATTACTACTGATATTTAATAAACAAGTTCTCGGGTGAGTTCTCTTACTTTTTTAAGAGATGAGAAAGTGAACAACAATACAAAAAAAAAAAAAACAAATATAAACAAATTAAATGAATTAAACATAAATAAATATATATATATATATATATATATATATATATATATATATATGTGTGATAATGTAAAAAAAAAAAAAATAATAATAATAATAATAATCAAATAAACAAGAAATTTAAAAACAAATTTTAATTAATCGTTAAAAAGGAAACAATACTTGATGTTGCGTACGCACGAATATGTATAGGCATAAAATTTTCGAAAACTCAACTCTAAATTCCGTGCTCTACCATTGATTGATATTGAAAAAATCGAGCTAAATAGTTTCGGAATTAAATCTTAATTAAAAATATGAATTCCTTTCAGTTTTTCATTGCATTAAAGTATCGGGAAATAGTTATAGAGAAATTTTCCATTTTTCCATATTAAATTTTGGTAATCATGAAGAGATACAATGCAATGGTCATTAATTTAACGATAATCATCGACGTCATCGTAATCGTTGTAAGAAAATTAAAGACAAGTCGAAGGGGCCTTTTGGCTCTAGTCCTTTATATTATCTACGTGTTAAGACAACTGAGAGAACTATAATTAGCCACAGCTTAGTGATCCTGCAGTATTTCAAAATAGATCATTATATGGGAAGTATTTGAAAAAATGATCCGACCCGAATTATTGTCAATAGGGTTCGTACCAAATTTTATCAAAATGTGTAGGTTAAAAACAAGAAAACAAGATGGACAGATGGACAGACATGCTTAAATCAAATCAGAAAATGATTCTAAATCAATCGGTATAATAAAAAGTGAATCTATTTGGAATCTGCTTTCTGGTTGTTATACGCATTCACACAAACTTTATTTATCTTTGTAGCACAAGTGGTATAAGGTAGGGTAACAATTATTGAAACCATTGATAATCATCGATTGAAAATGAACTGCAATATTATTGTACCACTGGCAATATTCAGAAGCACTATTCACCTGATCGATCTATCATCATCATCATCATCATATTACCAAAGTTGTTTAAAAATATAAATAGTTTTCTGCGTAACTACCTCAAGGTCGAGACAATTGAAATCGAATTTTGAAGGTTAGTGCGTATCAATTATGATGCAAGCGATTTTTTGTCGCACATAAAATCATCCCTAATTGGCTAACTAGCAAAAATGTTTTTAAGCAAAGTTTTTTTGCACTCATCACTATAAAAAAAAAGAAAAAAAATTTTAATTAGCCCTAGAGGGAATGTTGAACATTTATCAATTCAAAATTGGTGAATAATTTTTTTGTTAAATGCGTACATATCACTTCCCCAACCGAGACATTTTTCACAGTGACTTTTTGATTGGCTTAAGATAATATCCTTATCAAGTCTGTCCGTCGCATAATGGTGGGTAGATCACTTCCACTTTCAAAACGGCCATCAAATAACTATTTTAAATTTTATTGTAACAATAGGCTTTCTCGCAGCGCGGGAGAGCGAAATTGTTTCCTAATTTTTTCCTATTCGCGAATCTGTGTACTTTATGGGATGGATAGATGTGACAATTAATGTTAATGGATGCTAGTGAACATGGTCGCATTTTAGGCTGCAATGCAAATAAATGCCAGCCTATGGTTTGTGAAATCGCGGGACTGGACTGGCAACTTTGATTAAAAACAGCTGTTATCCGCCAAGGACAAGGGTCAGTATACAAGGAAATCTATTGATTTGGAGGAAGGGAAGAATGGTGATGAAATAATATCTATGTCACTGTTAGATTAGATAATCGGGCAGTACGCAGCATGCATACGATCATCTGACGAACTGGAAATCTGTTTTAGGAATGCCATGGCCGGTACATCTATCCGATTATTTCACTTAGGCTTTAACTATCACTCGATCATTTCACTCTAAAACCTTGTAAGGAATGTCCCGGGCGTTGGAAAAAAAAAACTCAACTTATTAATATTCGTTACACATGTTTGTTGTGTGATACCAAGCTTTCCGAACGAAACGTCATGTCCAATATAAACCCAAAGGCTCTATCGAGAACATTGAAAGGATTTTGTCACCATCAGCTGCTGACTGCTGGTACTTTTTTATTTTTACTGACAAAATGCAAAGGCGACGTTTAGAGTAATCTCAAAGTACATAAAATGCATGCTCCACCCAGTGTAAGATGTAATTAAGCTAACTGCATATATTCGTTTGGCGAAAAATGAAAATCATAACGAACATCATCAAAAGAAAATCGGACAACAACAAACGGAGCACTAAAGTTAAACGCTTCCCGCAAATTAACCTAAAGAAAATGGAGGATTCGGTTTACATAACAAAAAAAAAAATAAAAATAAAATAAAATAAAATAAAAAAAAAAATCGATTACATGTGAGGACCGTTAAAATGAGTAAAGATAAAAAGCCGAAGACCATGAAGAACACCTAATGTTATCGTACCAAAGCAAGTTAAATAAAAATTTTTAGATTCAAAGAAATTTGATAAAGTAGTGCTTAAAATATAACTGGCCTAGCGGAATACATAGATTTATTTACAAATCGAAATGTCTATCCGCATGACTATGAATTGATTGAATGAACGGAACATACAAGTTTGAGTCTCTTCTAAAGGAAGCCTGAATATTTCGGCAAAGACCTAATAAAATATATGCGGAAAATTGAACCGATATATATATATAGAACATTGTTGCTTTCCCTTCTTTTCCTTTTCTTTTTGCTTTTTTTTTGTTTTTTTTTTTTAGAAATTTTTTTTGGATATAATACATTCTAGCAATAAATAAAAAATTATTACATATATAGCGACGCATACGGGCTCAGTTAATATATATATATGTTTCGAACAACTAATTAATAACCGATCGCAACTTATGTCTGTTGCCAGCAATTTACATGAATTTAACGCAAAAAAAATAATAAAAAATAAAAATAAATAAATAAATAAATAAATATCAACAACAAAAACGTTTGGGTAGGTTGTCGTCGGTCTCTCGGTTTGTCCATATTACGCTAATGTTATAAATTGTGCTTTTCACTTTTATTATAGAATATTTATTCAACAAGCGCTACGTAAAACGTTCGTATTCGTTACAAATGAATTATTAATAAATTGCGGAATGTTTTACGTTTTGAAAAAATTCATAGGCAATCGCGCGCTTATCATAGGATTTTGATTAACTATAATTTTAATAAAATATATATATATATATATATATATATATTTTATGTATATAAGGAATGTATTTTAAAATATATATCATAAAAAGTTCGCTCCCATAATAAGTTTTTCCTTATTTAGAACGAGATGGCGTTCACGGCGATTGCTTCATAACAATGTTCTTCAATTAAATGTCTATCCCTTTTAATTAGATTCTATATAGGATCGACTAGCGACTAGCGTTACAGGGATTAATTTATTCTCTTCCTAACACTCTTAATGTCTATTCACATTATTTGCACACTATTTTACACATTGTTTTCACGCAAAGGCATATTTTTGATGAAGGCCCGTGGCACGCCTAAAAATGTTATTATTTTTCAATTTCCATCATAAAGAAGTAGGAATTAGACTTTCACTGTATATGAGGGCTTGAGTTTCATGTGTAATTCCACATATATGTTAGGGTCTAAAAAATAGACCTTTCTGATCCAAATTCTCTGCCGTTAATTTTATTTTCTAAATTTCTACTATAGACCAATATTCGTTATAAACCATTAAAAAATTACACTTTTTTTCTTTCTGGAGGATTTACTATTCACATGAGAAATCTTATAGGGAGTGAAGTCCAAGAAATAGGCTTGTGTAGTTTAAATGTAGTCTTCTTAATTTTTATGCGAAAATTCTACCATGATCAAGTTTTCGTTGCAGAATATGAACAATTACGTCATTTTGGCATAGAAAGATGTACATTACCTGTGAATGCTTATATTAGGTGGTATCCAAAAAATAGATCTACGTGATCCAAATTCGATAAGGTTAATTTTAAACCCATTTTCATCATGAAATATTGAAAATTACATTCTTTTTATCAAGAATTTTATTCAAGAGTTCAGATTGTTTGAGAGGGTGTCCAAAAAACTGCCCCATCACCAAACTAAATTTTTTATAACAATTGAAAATATCGAAATACTATTACTAAGCGTTTTTTCTCGTGAACTTTTACAAAATTTGCAAAATATTTTCTTACATAATAAGCGCGATTATCAAAGATTATAAAAAGGGATGTAAAAGTTTGATCGTCAAAGAACACGATTAACGGAAGGGCGAGTGTAAGCAATGAGCTATTAAAATCCTTTATCTATTTTTTAATGAAAAGGTTTACATTTCACAAAAGACTTTCATACAACTCTTACGTACCCCAATGAAGTTTGATAACAGTTTGATCATTAAGAGCATTAAGTCATGTTGGCGAACATTTTCAATTGCATTCAAGTGACAGTTTACTTGATCTTTAGATAATATCTATCTAAAATTTGTCTCGACGTCGATATTGAGCATCCATTCCGCTTTATAGAGTATCTATGTTAACACATTCCCCTCTCACGAAATTTTGGATATACGTAATTCAGACATTGGTGTTTGTAAGGCATTAGTTTCAGCTGCGTACAAAATGCCGTTCAATGTATATATCAAACTGGACAAAGATGAATGTGAACAAGCAACACTTACGGTATTTCAGTTTATTCTGTTTTCCTATGCTATGAAACATTTCGAAAATGCTCAAGTCTTCAAACGAGTCTTAAAAACGATGAAAATTCGTATACGCTTAAGTGATATTCAACTTAAGCTGGAAGCTCCTTTCCCAAAATTGGGAATAATTCTTCGATTCTGTCTCTTGCAAATTAACCCTGGTCCAGGTCGATGTAATCGCATTGAGCGGGTTAGTGACTTTGTAAATGATTGATATCTGTTCCGCATCCGATAAATGGCAAAAGACTATACATAATGTTGATGAGTAAATTGATTATTAAGTTTTGTATTAAGCGTACTTTAAGTTAAGTTATATTTAAAAGAAAAAAAAAAAAAAAAGAAAAAAAAATTGATTTGTACATCTTTCTGATTTAGTCATAATCGGATTAGCAAAGTCGACTGCGACACTGTCACATGAATAACTAACTGTTTTATATTGAAATTTTAATGGTATTAATAAAACAAGGTTTTAAAAGAAGAGACAAAACATAAACATAATCACAATATAAGAAAATGTGATGAAAATGAAAGTCGTAGCAGCCACAATACAAGACATGCATAAGTGGACAGAACCTTTAGGTAAATATAATACATTTTAGTCGTTAGAGCTTGTTCTACTTTGTTATTGATAACCGTCACGTTAATTGATCACTTGAAGCTGTGAGATGTTCTGATCATTTTTATTTTTGATTTTTTGTCAAATTTTAGAGCAATCAACTGTGGCATAGATTACAAGATTATGTGATTTTTTTTTTAGTGAATGAATCATATTCACTTACCAACTTAATACATGCATAGAGTGTGCACTGAAAATGAAAATATATGCATGTATCTGTCTTAACTTTGCAAATATTTATCTGTGTTCCCGAAAGGTGGCGATTTCCCAAATTAGGCAAACATTGCGGAAAACGGCTTAAGCATTTCATGCTTATCAAGCATATATATACGATGTTCTCCAATAGATTTCAAAATAGATTTTCGGGGCTGTTTCCGCTCTCAGTGGTAAGTTTATTAATCTGATATGATGATATGTGGGGGATGATGCTTTGAGCGCAACTAGCTGCCCGTCAAGTACCCCGTGTACATGCATAGAATTGATAAAAGTTCCGCTAGCAAGTTTAATGAATTGAGATATTGTATATATGTATATATATATATATTGAGGCGAGTATGCAACTCGATTCCGACTATTAATTCTTGGTCATTACTCCTCTGTCAACTGGCGGCCGCAGAGCATTTCTTAAAATGCGATTTGAAGCAAGCAAATTAATGGAGACTGACAGACTGACAAGCAGACGTGTCTACATATTATAACGAGCATATGACATTGGTCAAAGTTATATATACTTTGTAGCTTCTCTGATGCTTCCCTCTGAGTATTGCAAACGTTTTGAAATGTTTCGATGATGAAAAATGGATGCGTTGACGATGCATCCGAAATACATTGACCATGTGAACTATAAAGTCGTCCTATCCGTCCAAGGAAATAAAACGGTTGTCGAGCGTTGTAGTCTGCTCTAACCCCACAAAACCATCAACGAAAAACTTTAACAACAAGAACTAAGCGCCATGGATTGACCAGCACCTTGCAGAAAAAACTTTAGGTCACATTTTGCAAAATCGATCAAAAGATTGTTAGAGATAAACTGAGCTAAAAGTTAACTTGTGACCCGCTACATAACACTATATATTGCCATCTTCTGATTAACAGATGTCTTTGGTGATTTAATGTGGGTACACTATCTTGTCGGTTTAAACTCACGGTGCCCGATGACACACGGGTTAATTTTGCATAATCGCATACACACATTGCTTAACTGCTGCGTTTAAACTGGCGATTAGACATATAAGCTTCCATCGCGGTTTCCATATGTATGTAAGTATGCAACTTTCACCGCGAAGGATCTTGGCAAGCACCGATCTACAGTATACCAATGCCGTCACCTCTACCCGCAGGTACTCGTGAGATAGTAAATGGGCTCCTGACCTCCGCCGAGATTAAAGTTAGACTATAAAGCTTTTAGTCTTACTTTACGCGACATAGTAACCCTTGCCTTCGGATTAATCATACAATTCCGGCTGGCCAATACCGGTCTACACTTTCTTCAAGATATATTAGCATCGGGTATTATATCTAACATGGCAGGCGGTACAATCCTCTCGACTATTATTATATCAATGTATTTTACGTAACCAATTACCAGCTGGTTTGGTTTATATTTACTTCTTAGCAATAGTTTATGAGAAAGGAGTGCTTTCTCTAGTATAGCTCTAAGCTATCTTCCAGAATACTTGTCGCCAAGTTACAAATATTTTAAGCCTTAAATTCTTCTTCGCCGGTCAAGACCGTGTCCACGGATCACCATGAAGAGATGACAGCTACGGCATATCTATCCTCCCCTTCAATAAGCATACATACACATTTTAAACAAACATTACATGTTATGAAGCTAAGTCATAAAGCTAATAAGTTCATAGGTAAAGTGAAAATGAACGATAACGACATTTCCGTAATTTATTTCAAGCCATTGCTCAGAAAGCGAAGTTTATGTTTGCACTAATTATATACTTGGTACCTTGATCTATATTCATCTGTTCAGATATTGCAAATTACTATTTTCGATATAATTATACATATATAATTTTTAGTTAATTATATATACAAATATACATATATACATATATAAAAACGAGAAATTGCTTAGCATTACAAACGTAAAAAAAAATTGAAATATATTGCTATTTACGGTTTAGATAGTCTTTTGTACCTTTAATATAATTGATCGCGAGATTTAAAGTTGTTTTAATTTCAATAACGGCTACAGGGTTTAAATAAAATGCACATTAAAACGGGTCCAAATATAACAATGAAAAAAAATTCTCTTTACAAACACAACCTGCTTATTATATGACCATTTATATATATGTATATATGTAAAGATCGTAAGTTCAGAGCAGTCAACAACAACGATAATAATAACAACAACAATAATACGTTTTGCACATATATTCTATAATGATGAAGTGAAGAACCGGTTAAAAATTCTTTGAACAGTTTTATATGATTAAAAATATTTTGCAGAAACTAACCTTTGCGCGGAACACATTTGATTAAAGAAATTAAATACAAAGCAACATTAAAAAAAAAAAAAAAAAAAAAAAAAAAAAAAAAAAAAAATTTTTTATTACACATGTAAACTTATACAGAAGCTGAGGTTACAAATGTGTTAAGCCTTATAGGCTTAAGCGTTCAGTGCAATTTTTCCCGACTATGATGAATTTATATAAAAATAATGTAAATAAATTGTTAATTATATATATGTATATATCATATATAAAATAAATTTTATATTGAAAAAAATCTCATCTTATAACCTGAAGGCAACCTATCTCGCTACCAGGAATCATTTGATTTATACGATCATTTCGAATGCCAAACTAAATCAGATCGAAAAAAATAAAAGAATGAAAAATGAATGAAATGAAAACAATAAAAAAATAAAAATGAATTTAGGTTTTAAAATCAATCACATGAGAAAACTTGTATAAGACTCTTCGATGATAACTACAGCCAACGAGTAATATTTTCCGAACTACTTACGGACGGACACATCTTTTACTGATGTCACTGTATTTTAAAGAATAGCTTAGAAAAACATAGGTAAGTATTTTAAAATTAATGCAATTTTTCTCATTCATCAATAATTTGATGTAAATACTTAACTAAATAAATATTCGGTATCGAAATCAGAGATTCGATAGTTTCAGAGATCCCAGCAAGAGCGAGGACTTTGCTAATTAATTTTGTCGATATCCATCTGTCCATTTATCTGAACGACTGTCTCATCATCTTTCTTTTACGTTCAACATACAGACACATATATGCTTTAGAAAATTACGTTGACTCTGGGCATCTGTATAGTGTAGCTTTAAGAGACGCATAAGATAAGCCTAGGCTTTATTGTATTTTTTATACCCTACATCTCCTTGTGTTACAAGAGTATACTAAGTTTGCACTATCCTGCAGGTCTTGAGATCGACTTTCCGAATTTATCTAAGCTTCTCTCTCTGTCTGTCTGTCTGTCTGTCCGTCCGATATTCATTCATGTATTCTTGTATTCAACAATGCAGGTCACAATTATTGAGACATTTTGATGCAATTTGATGGACCGAAATGATTTGATTCAAAAACCAATACTATTGAAAGTGGTTTAGATCGTATCGCGTTTTTAACCCCACTTCCCATATAAGGACGAATAATTATATTTAACAAAGTGGTGTAGAGCATTTAAAGATCGCACTTGCCCCATGTGCATGTGTCTATGTATGTCCAAATTTTAATTCCTGGACGAATTTTACTATAATGGATTTCAAGTTTTAAGATCATTGAGATTGACTTCAATTGCCGAGAAAATATCGTATACAATATCTGCTGTCATTCCATTTTATAGTCAGATCATATTTGGTGCGTATGTATATTAGCTTTATTAAATTCTTCCTAACATATGTTAAGGGTATGTCTATCTATCTATAAAATATTATTATTAAAATCTGATTGGACCTTCTCCTGGATAACCTCCTAGCCCAAGGGCTCTTTTTTCATAAAAATATTATTTTTATGCATATTTTGAGAATATGTTGCATTTTTCTACCCTCTCCGGTGCATCCTGATTTTTATAATGTTAATGCGTTTAATAGACGAGACCCGCCCACTCTGTTTGCTGAGTTACATTCTTTTTTTCTAGTATCTACTATATCTATCGTATACTACTAATCGATAAAAAATTTAAAGAAGTTTTTCATTGCGGGCGTGCCAACTGGTTATTCTTCTTCTTCTAAAAACTGTAATACCTAAAGCGTAGCATCGAATGGCTTACAAACGCTACACCACTGAAAAGTTATAGCTTTTTTATGGAGAAGAGGTGGGACAATCCTCTGCCGAGTCTGAACGTTATTTTTTCCCAGCACAAAGCCAATGCGGAGTTTCCTATTAATTCAAAAATATAAGAAAGGCGCCTCACTAAAATCGCTTTAACTTTGCCAATAAACGATTGAAATTGTATAAAATTTGGACAGGCACGTGAACTATTTGTCGGAGACAATATTGATGTGCCAGTCCCGGTACTTATTGACCAATGTGGTATATGGTTTTTCAGCGATGCGAGTGCCTTTTTAAAAGACCCTAACAGAATTGAATAAAAGCAAAAATTTCTCCCATCTATGGGAAACCGTTAAGGCATTATCACAGGCTTAATTGCTATCCTGCCATCATAGGAATGAAGTCAGATTTAGCGAAGAAAAATGCCCGGAGCAATCGTGCCTTTTTGCTATCATTGAAATAGCAGTCACGGCTTCTTTTACCCGCAAGACCCGCACACGATGAACCGCAACAACTTTATTCGCTAAATCTGAGCTCATTCAGGACTCGTCTTTAAGACATGAACAATATCTTGGCTTATCGCTATAAAGTAACAAAACAACAAATAAGTTCGAAGGCTTTCCATTATAGCGCCGATATTGGAATTTTTCGAAATCATTACATCACCGAATTGATTGATATATGAAGTGTCATGTAATCTCATCATATTAAAGAGACCACACAAATATTGTTTAGATCAACATCAAAATTATTTCGGCAAAAATTCGATCTATAACAGTTTTCCATTCACTTGACGGTGCTTTCATCCTCCTTTTTGAAAAAATATCAAAAATCAAAGGATAAAAGAACCTTAAGACTCTTTTCGTTCGATTTTTGTAATTTTAAAAATCGCAGGCAATTTTTTTCAGAATTTTAAAACCCATTTCTGATCATCGATGAATCAAGATTTCGTTGTTTCTCTATTTTTTTTTTTTATTTTTTTATTTTTTGTTCTTTTGTGAATTGAAAAATTGTATATTTACCCATTGATTACAAACCCAACGACAAGTTGATTGACCACCATTCTTGGAAGCTTTTTTAAAACAAAAAATGTACACACACACACACACACATACACACACACCATTGCTTATGCGGTTAACATCGAAAAGATGGTAAACTTTTTTGTGAGAAAAAGAATACGTGCCATAAAAATGGCTTTCTCTGTAGGAGACTCTAAAGTACCAGAGCCATCTTTCTTTGATTAGAGATTATAGCAAAAAGCCAAAGTGATAGAAAGTTGTTTAGAAAATATTTAAGTTTGCCAAAAAAAAAAAAAAATAAAATAAAAAAAAAAAAAAAACCAAATGCTTTTAGATATTAAATTGATCGTTTTAAACTTGGCGTACACGAAAATTGTTATAAGCGCTTTGTATGCTATTAGGGTAGAAGCAAGTTCAATAACATCATAAGTGCATATTTCAATACCGGAATTTTTCAGTTCGAAGTTAAATGTGTGAAGAGAATATGATTTTAATGTTACGTCACATTTTCTCATTACAACGCTAGGTAACGATAGGTAAAACACCGGATCTATATGTTTAGAAAAGTTTATTTATATTTGTTCAGTAAAAAATTAAGATCATGAAAGGGAGCTTGAAAGATTTGAAATAAAACATGAGTAAAAGCACTTAACTTTACTTTATCTGAAATTAGATTTCAGTTAATGGGATATAAAACATTAAAAAACTTCAATATACGAAAATGATATAATGAAAGTAAAGCATTTTATACAAATTGTTTGCATTGTACTGGCAGACTTGTTGCTAAGGTCACATTTATCATCACTAAGATTATGCGTTCGATCGATGTCATCTGCGGATTATTGATCATTATTAACGCAAATATATTGCAATTTTCGCCCATTTTCTCGATGTTTTACTTAGATGATCAAATTTATCAAATTCCTTCTAAGCAGTACATTCTAAATTTACCGAATCGCGTGAAAAATTTTTGATTGCGAACAAAACTGATTGGATTTGAGCGAACCGAATAGAAAGCTCATAAATATCAGTATAAGTATTTTTAGTTTGTAAAGTTATCGATCGCAGTGCATACAAAATAATTAATTTATTGTACTTTCATATGCAAACTTGAACCCTATACAACAATTTTTATACTCTTGTAAACATTAAGCTTGCGGCGGTACGTAGGTCTTCCGACTGAAGTATGTTTTCTTCCTCTTTCTTAAAGTTTCATTATTTATTACTTTGCAATCTAAATATTGTTGACAAACTAAGTCGAAATTAAGCTGTCACCGCGATTTGATTCAATCAAGGGAATAATTGCACAGTGCCCGTCCGATACAAGAGGAGATATATTATATAATTCTTCATTTGTTTTTCGTGTAAAATAAAGGACTTGTTTGTTCTTTGCAAGCTAAAAAACTTATGTACACTTTAGGACTGACATGACGTTACTTGAACTTAAAAATCGTTGAGTAATAAATATGAAATCGATGTTTGAGATAAATTTTCGAATTTCGAAAATTAATTTATTAAATGTAATGCCTATTAGCGCACTTCTCCATTCCAAAAAGGCTAATTACTTTGCGAATGAAAAGCCCTCAGGTAACGATCATGGTAACGATGGTAATACTTTGTCTATCTGGCTGGTAATGATTGATGAAGAAAATTCTTTTTTCCGAATGAGTGAGAAAATGATGATATTCGTGTAAGTGAGAAAGGGGAAAAAACAAGCGAAGCTGATGTATTACTGCGACGGGATTATTTTGGCTTGTAGTATGACGCGGTTTCGTGTCTGTTGACTTTCTAGAAATGAACTGTTCACTGAACTGACTCGCCTTTCTTCACAACGAATGCGATTAATTTGTGTTCGGCGCTTAGTACGCACTCGGTCGTATTTCAATGAATACTGAGTTGTTTGAGACAATGATGGTTTCCACTAAGCCTTGTTGTTGTTTACCGAAAACGTCAAATGCTTGATTAACATGCTTTGCTATCCTGACTCTCTAAGGTCTAAGGAACCTTCAATCTACTATAGAGAAAACCCTAATGTAGATAATACGTAATAAACGCTATGTTACAATAATAGATATATATGCCGTAGGAAAGCCGCTATTGCAAAAGTGTGTACCGTAGACTAATATAAATCACAATGCTATGTATGTACGTATGTTGGCCAAAATTTGTGGATAGAAGTACTACGATAATGTAAAGCCAAAGATTATATTATATCGTAATGATATGTCGAGAAAGAAGCTCTGCTGACTATATGTAACACTGTAGTATAATAAGATGTGCGTAAATATTTGTAAAGAAGCTTATGTTTCCATATAAAACCCTACTAGGCCCTACGATACGCGTATTAACGAACAAGACGAAGAACGAGGAAGAAATATCCAGATTGATAGCAAAGCTGATAGACGGCTATAAAAAACGGCTATAACATGGATTGCCATGGGTGCGAATGTGATTTAAGACACAAAGATTTTACATAATATAGATATGAGTATTGTATCGACGTTCCGAAGTATGCGAAATAAATCGGATCAATTCAATTAAAACAGTAACTCTTTGTAGAGAGTCGTCAAAAAGTTCTTTTAATCGTGTTTAAGCCATTTTACGGTTTCATTCATATAAAATCGAACATAAAAACTCAGATCACGGTGTTAGTAAGTGCCCATTGATTTGAACGAACTCGTTTGATTTTCCGAGAGTTTAAAAGTTTTCACCTGGTAACTGATGGTCAAGCCGAACGAAGGGTCAGTATTATAAAAACAAAAGAGGAAAATTAAAAAGCTTTACTTGCACTCATTCGAATAGTATGTAGGTATGTAGATATAAAACCGCAACTTGGCAAGATGGCTCTCACCTACGTTATATCAGTAGTATTGAGTGAAAATTTTATATGACATGCTGCTAGAAACGCACTAATGACTAATAGTATTAACAAAAAAAAATATTAAAAAAATAAAAAAAAAAAATTTTCATAAATCCATTAGATGACGATAGATTGTGAAAACCGATGTGTTAACCAATTACAAGCAATTGGATTATCTTCCATCATATTTTAATGGATTATGGCATCTTCAATACGAATGTGAACGAAATTGCAAACCAGTTAACAATGCGAAAGAAAACAAATTTGAAATCACTGTAGACCCATCTTACGATTAAAAATTGTGACACTCTCTGCGAATCCGAAAAGCTCCAACTCGATTAGAATATTGTAAATTTAACTAGTATTGCATTTTTACTCTATTACCATCTAAAAACCAGGAGTGGTGAACTCTTGCGTCTGGCAACACCAAGCGATGGTGGTGGAGAATATCATTTTATCTGATATACGTTCATTTATGTGTACACGTGCTAACCGTGTCGTCCCCTGTATTGCAATATGCAAGACGAGATTGTAGGTATGCGATACACGAGGAATGGAACCGTTTAGATAAATATGTGTGTATATAAATCATCATATGAATGAATGAATTTCAAAAACTTAAACCTAAACATAAATCCTATTAAACGAATATAGACAAATTTATAGGTATCTATATCGGCGCATGCATATTCTCCTTTATTTTTATCATGTATTTATCTATTTCTTATTGTCGGGACGGACAAAATATATTTCGGTTTTAGCTTTAGAAAATCCATGACAGATTTAAAAAGCGCCAATCACCAAATACACGCCTATGAAAAGTTCATGTCATTTCGGGCGTGATTTTTAAACAAGTTGCAGTGATTCTAATCACCCTACTAGTTCTGTTCTGTTATTTTCAAAAAAATTTATAAAATCCGAATATCGTCTGTCGATTAACGCCCCACTTTTTTGTATGTGAGAAAAATAATCTTTAAGCTCAGCACTGGCGTGCAAGATAAGTCATGGCAACTCTTTTTCGGCAAAAACAAATTTTTTTTTTTCTGTTTATTGATTTCCACTGATAATGCTGAACCCAGGAGATGCTTAAAAGAGATAATTGCTTGAAAAGATGTTAAAAATCATTGTCGATAATCGAGAAGTTCGATAATAAAAATGATCGGACATTCTAAGGATTTCGAAAGGCGGTTTATCAATTGATTTGAAAGAAAACTATGGCAAGAATGAGTTTGTTTGCCAAGTCGATTTCGCTTTTATTCGTAGTGGCTAAAAAAAAATCCCATGAAAGTTCGTAAAATTTGCATTAATTGAGGTTCAAATCATTGCCCCAGCCAACCCTGTAATCGAGAACTTCAGTTCATTCAGTGACTATTATCTGTTTGCATATTTCAAAAGGATGCTTTTGAGAAAAAAAAAATTTGGATCAAATGAAGAGATGCTTGGGAAAAATTAAGCGTTTTTCGAGAGACCCGACAAATCATTCGATTAAGGAATAGAACAAAATTACATTCGACTATTAACGAATCTTTTATACGAAAATGAAAAAAAAAAAAAACTAAACTTCGATGCTCCCTAATATTGGGCAGATGAGAGTGATGTCTTTCATTTTTATACAAATATATAGAACAATGAGCAAAAAAGCCCAGAAATCTGAGATATTATCACAAAATGCTTATCGTCGATACTACACAGACGGACAGAGATAGACAAACATGCCTGAATTGTTTTAGAATTTGATACTGACCAAGAGTATATATATACTTTGTGGGCCCTGTGAATATTCCTTCTGAGCGCCGCAAATGTTTTAATAGAATGAATACAGTCTTCGATAGTGCATTTAAAAAGACATCGAACTGATAGATCAACGACAAAACAATAAAAAATGACAATAAATCATTTCTGAATATTCCCGGGAATTATTGATCGATGTCTTTATACTTTACATTTTAATTCTTCATTTTTTTGTTTTTTTTTTTTTCACGTTTAATGTATATATATATATATATATGCTTTTACTCAGCTGATAATATTTGTTAGCTGAGTTTGTCTGAATAAAAAACATAAATGAATAAAATAAACGCGTAAAGATTTCGTCAATGATGTAAAAGCTCGTTATCCCCAAAAGTTTGTACACACTTTCCCATAAACATATATATATATATACTAACGATGTAAAAAATGCAATCATTAGAAAGGAAATTTCCAGCTGAAATTGTCCCGACATTTAAGAAGCACACATGCTTTGTTTGTGTACACGTGTGATATATTTTGCATGCGATGTACAAACGATATCTCTTTATTTTGATGACTTTTTATTTAAACATTTTGATTTCTTCTTTTCTTTTAGAAAAAAAAAAAAGGAAAAAAAAAGAAGATTTCATCATGAACTGCTTAAATTCAGATGCGGTTAATACAGAAATTGTTATTCAATCTCGAATTCAAGATGATTTAAATCATAAAGAAGAGCTTAAAACGAAGACTAATCAACTAGCCAGTGAACATAATGTGGCAGCAGATGCCGCATTTGAAGATGTAGCAAACTGTGATATTGAAACAAACAATGAAAGCCATGAACCTAATAATTATGCAAATTGGTATCGAGAAGATGCGACATGTTTGCCTAAGGACAACTTAACGCATCTAGATTCTTATTATTCGGATTATTCAAGCAATGAGCAAAACGATTATCCAAAAGATTTGACATTATCTCATGATAGGAGATATGATCAAAACGGGATTGTACTGGTGCCACGTTCGTCTTCAACAATGCATTTGAATTTCTACGTTCCGTCGATTTCTACGCCGTCATTTGACGCATCGCAACCAAAAAACGTTTCGCTACTGAACACCGTCAGCAGGCATGCATCGGACATAGCTGATACGAATCCAATTTCGATTACGGATAATTTTCAACCGAATATGTGGCATCCAAATATTCCGTTGGGATCATATCGTTCGTATTCAAGTCAAAATTATGGACAATTACCTCACGAGCACTTGATTGATATGTTTCAGCTGACAAATAGGTAAGATAGATAGATAGATAGATAGATTATTTGATTACTTTTCCATTGCGTTATAAAACTTGTTCAATTGCATCGAATTTGTTTTTTTGTTTTTTTTTTTTTTTTTGGCGGTATCGTCGTCACACGCGCCAACTTTTTACAAATTCATTAATACACACTCGCTGCATATTGCTACGTCGAATATGAGCGCGCAGATGCGGTACAATCGACAACATTTACATATACATATATTCCATGTATTCCATGATTAATATATATTTAATAAGAAATAAAATCAAGCTCGTGGGATTCCCCAGTGAGTGTCTAATGCCAAGGCTACACATTAAATAAATTAACGACTATTGAGATATAAACGCAAATAACTGTTATGCCGTGGGTTAAAAGTAAACTTGAAAATCTCTTTTCGAATTTTTCATAATAACAATCAGCACAAATAAGAATTGCATTGCGAACCCTTAACATTATAAATGAGTTCATTAATGAATGAATAATCAATGGATGCATTCGTAAAATGACGAGAACAGGTCACTCCCACGTCAACATTATGCTCGCAATTAAAATTGAAAATTACATTTACATTTACATTAATTAGTTTGGGCTATATTAGCACGCGGTCGCATAGCACAATCATAGATCTACGATATAATTCATTTATATACTAATGTAAGAAAGTAATTGTTTGCCTTGTTTGAATAGATTTTCTTATAAGATAAATTCCTCTCTTATCCCGAAAATGTAATTAATATGTGTAGGCTTACTTGTCCGAAAATATGATTTACATTCATAAATTATAATCATTTATGAAATCTTTCTCCGACTATTAAGCATTATAAGTAGAGATGGTTGCATCTCGTCAATAGAAAAGTGAAGTTGCAAGGAATAGTTAACATTGCAAAGATAGTACGATATTTTTTAGGAAATTGCGTTTACATACAGCGTAACACATATACCATCGATGACTACAATAGCAAAATTGCATGAAGTTTAAATTGCTCCCCCAATCTGACGCCCAAGCGTTTACTATCTGTTCGCAAATTTCTAAAAGTGTAATCAAGGGCAAAAGGCATCCAAATAACACAGAAGATTTGAATTGATTGGACTGATCTTTGCAAAAAACAACATTGATGAATAATCCAATAAAATGCTATTTGGTCCTTGGAACTATTTTGATATATCATCATATTAGTTTGGGGAAAAAGAAATCCATTATTTTTATATGATCTTCAGGACTTTATTTAACATGCTTCGGATCGATACTTTACGAGAAATCTATCAGTGCAGCCATCTACCGAAAAAATAATGGATTTCTTTTTCCCCAAACTAATATTTCCGCATATATTTACTAATTCTACCTATGAATAAGTCGATGTTCATAGTTCATAAAATTCCAATTTTTCCAAAATTTTTGCAAACATACGCATATGAATGGCATAAAGTAATCAAAAAACCTTAAGCAATAATAATTGATTTATCTTTTCGTCGTTGAGCTTCAACAGTTGAAAAGTACTGTAAAAATATTATAAAACCTCTAACAATGTTGCCTGCAAATAACATGGTCATGGACATATTGAGTATCACGATACGAGGGCAACATCGCGCAAAGCCTACAAATTGCAAAAGTTTTCCAATGAAAGCTTAACTAATGCATTATTTGAAGAAACACCCTATAGCTGCCCTGCCAAGTTTAATTTATCATATCGAGAAAGGCATCTTGAGCCACTTGAAATCGTGTTATGATGTTAGATTGTCTTAGAAAGGTCAACTCTTGCATGTCCATCTTATTCATTCAACACAAAGCCACTTGAGATAACCTAATCTCAGATATTATGTTACCTTTTAACAAACGCATGCACCCTACCTTACATTATTTTTAAATTTTTAAATTTTAATTTGATGTCGACCGAAATTGAAGAATAGAAATTGGTATTTTAGTGTTCAAGTGGGAAAGAATAATCGGCAAGTCGATAGGGATGATGATGATGATGATGATGATGATGCCAGACATGCTCAGACATACCCAAATCGAAGCTGCGATTCACCATAATCGTCAAAATACATGAAATTTACAAGTACTTCAAGTACTGGCTAACTCTGTACGTTTGATAAAAGCTATATAATGGATTGTTATATAATATAATATTTACTTTGCTATTTTCTCTTCATAAAAAAAAAAAAAAAAAACGATAGAAAATGACGTAGCGACTTTTGAGATTGAAGAGAATCTCTTTTTAATGGCCTTGAATGCGATTTTTCATTCAATCATAGATTTATAAACAAAATATAAATACATATATATATATATATATATATATATTTATACACATCGAAAGTATGTATGTAATGTAAAGCGAGAAAAACCAATAAATACAAGTAAAAGCTGTTCCTTTACATTTCCTATACACATATATAATAGGCGCTTGAATGTATTTCGATCAGCGACATCTCTATTGGTAAAAATGATAAAATAATGCGAAATATCTTAATCAGTGCATACAGAAGCCAATCATCGAACTGTCAAAATTGCATTTTCGACATTCATTACTTTTGTTGTTTGAAGAAATTTGCTGCCGAAGCACATCGAGCACTTTTAGAAGCATGACGTGTATGATGTATGCTCCATCAGATCTCAATTGTCGGCTTCGGTTTTAACGATTGCAAGGTAATGATTTTGATGTCAATGACAAAGATCGAAAGACCAAAACAGTTCGAAAACAATGAATTGCAAGATTAGTTGAATGAAATGCAGCTCACACTCACATAGAACTCTCGAGCAACAATTAGCAGTTGTTAAATCAACTGTTTGTAGACATTTACATGCGATAGAAAAGATCCAAAAGAAGGAAGAATGGCTACCACGCCAGAAGGTGCATTCAAATCGCAATCGAAGCGAAATATTCATAGCAATAAACTCTTGCTGCGCATATGGTGCGATTAGCAAGGTGTAATGTATTACGAAATGTCTTACAACAGATGCCTATCGACGTCAGTCGTACAAAGCGAGCAACATATTGTTGGAAAAAAGACCAGCGATAGCAGTTAACAGACGCAAAGTCGTCCGTTTGGAGGCCGTCTCTCAGCTACGCAGTGTAATATTTGTCCAGGATACACCGCTTGAGCTGTTGCTCACGCGACATAGCTCTTTCTGATTACCACTTGGTTGGCACGTAGTTTAGAAAGCTGCTGAAAAGTTGTTATCGAATCGCTTGTCAAATCAATAACGTTCTTGCGGCACGATTGCCAGAAAGATCGGGAAACTTAAGAGAAAATGATCGAAAATATTTTGATAAATATATTATATATTGTACCGATTTTTCTCAACAAATGACGTTTGTAAAATATGAAAAATCCGCCTGAGTGGCCGAGTAGGCAAGAGTCTCGACTAGCAACTCAATGGTCGTGGATTCAAATCTCAAGGGCGGTAAAGTTTTTAATAAAACCGAAAGCCTTAGATGCTAGTGCTTTAAGACTTTAGTCTTCGAATTTATTCTTTGGCTAAATTTATAATAACAATAATAATAATAATAATAATAATAAAATATGAAAAATGATTAAAATATATGCAAGCACCTAATGGTGATATGTACAGCTAGTAGCTTAAAATTGTTACGATCTATGTACGCAGTTGGTTGACGTGATTCATTTGCAAAAATATATAACCCATACAAAAGCGTACAAGTGCTTTAAGAGCAATCGTGACGATTTAAAAATTTTTTTCACTTGGCAAAGGAAAAGAAAGAGATAAAAATAATATTTTGCACTTGGGCTTGTGTGAAAATCCTTTTAAGTTATCTTACTGAATAGTCTCGAATATGTAAACAGACAGCAAGCAACAAGTTATAATGCGATTGTAATCGAAAACAACTATGGTGGCAAATAAAACCATTAAGACTAGTATAGTATGGTATACGATGAATTTCAAATACCCATCACTTTAATGCACTTTAATACATTCATGTATTTACAGTTTACTGGTAAAGATGTTTATGTTTATTCCAAAAAAAAAAAAAAAAAAAAAAAACGCCTACATTTACTATCCATTCTATAATCTCTAGTCCTAAGGATGTCTTTGAAAGCAAATATATAAATTATTTTGATTCTTTTGCACTCTTCTCTTAAGGATATGTCAGTGTAAGTGACGTAAAATGTTTCGTTGTGTTACGCGAACTGATTTTACAAAATATTAATCACTTGTCACTATCGCTTGTCATTATAATTAATGGGATCTATGCTTACACTAACGACATGTTTACCTCAAAATAAACAAATCGTATAATTAATGGATTAATCTTCGGGTGAGTCACAAACAAATCGATCAACTTTGTAAAACTTCTAACTGAGGCTAGCCAAGGGTAGTGTATATGAAATAAAAAAATAACTATACTCGTCAAAACAATAACAACGTGACAGAGCTTAAAATATATTGCCCCTCTTGGCTTCCGCAATATTTGACGTGTAAACATACATACGTCCGCCGTCACTTACATTTGCTATGCAATTTTGCGTTTAGTATTTTTTGTAAACAAAATTCTATAACACTCAACAGACTGGCACTTAGCTATTATCTATATACACTTGCAAATATATAGAATATAATACGTATACCATCCATAATAAAAGAGTGCATGTCGACGTAATAGAGCATTAAAATGCAAAGGGGAGATAACCAATAGCTTGGTCTAGTTATATATACATATATATGCATACATATATATAAATTTGCCCTTATCTCTGAATGCGAATATAATAACAGAATGTCACACAGTGGGAATCTATATATATATATATATATATATAGATTGTATTACAATGCAAGATGAAGAAGAGCATTGATTACATTTTATGCAAGCACAGAATTCGAAGAAGTAAATAGTCGAAGTAAATGGAAGAAAGCATTTGAAAATGTAATATTTTTGTATATAAAGGTTGTTTTTTTTTTTTTTTTTGTTTTGAGCGTTCAGTAAGTCAAGCAATTTAAATCTTAAATTAATCATTTTTACACATTATATTAAATTTATTATGCCCTATGTAACATTGTATAGATGCAGTAAACAAAAGATTATTGAACCTTCGTAATATTGATTTTATTCACAATTTACGTAATCCGTTGGTTGGTTGAGCATGCATTTTGCTAACTAATCGACTTATGATAACACTAGATTTACGCAACTGTCAATATGACGGATTTGTATTTTCGAACTCAAAAATAAATGTCTTCAGCTTATTTTTTGTTTTCTCTATGACACGTTCACTTTGCTATTTCTAGATATTGTATAAATGTTTTTACTCAAACCCGTCAATTTCACGGGTAAATTTTGTGAATCCTCAAGGTTGCGAAAATGAAAATTTAATTCTGACACAAGTATACCCTGACCGATTAGGAATAAATGTTGGTGAACCCTGACAATTTGTTCAAATAATCGTCCATAACTTTCGATTCGTTCAGTATATATGTGAAAAACTATTATGCAGGTTTGGTCCGGAAACACATTGAATTGAATTTCATCGTAACTAGTGGACATGTTAGCAAACCGATTGAAATCATTTCTGGACTGAACACGACGATGACCCTAATGGACATCGGAATTACAGATTTTAAAAAACATCTCCATCGGTTCATAAGTTATGCACGAAAAATTCATTTTTCAATTTAATTGTAATCGTGTGTGATAGTACACGCCCACCTAAAGCTACACAAATTAAAATTATGTACTTATAATATGTCCCGATTACGTATGTATTAAGTTTGATCTTATCAGCAGATCAATCGGTGACGCTTTCACGCTAAACTTTTATGTAGCCACTATACCGATTAATTTCGAATATCGAAATCGGTGGAGGTAAGGAAAAATGAAATTTGCCTTTACTTCGTTTTTAAGAGATTTATTTTGAAGAATGTCGTCTCAGCGCAAACGAATAATCTTTTCTATGCTTCATCGTTATCAACTTGTTTTCTTCGATTGCGTTACGTAAGGAAAGAAAACGAGTATGCAACGCGAAGGAGGAACGCAATCGTATCGTCTAAAAGTACAATTCGATAAGAATGCATAGTAACTTTTTGGGTTTTTGTAAATATTTTAATCCTTTAAATGCAATTCTGCTGCTGTCCGCTATTCTTGAACTTCAATTACCAAAATTGACTGTAAATATGTAAAGTTGTAGTTCCCTATCGGCAATTTTGGCAATTTCAAGCATCTAAAATCAAAATGTATTTTTTTCTTGTTCAGTTGTTATCAACGGCCCCAATACGTTTAATATGCCGCTGCTTACATAGTGAATGCAAAAATTCTCGTTACATCATCTTATCACGATCATGTCTAAAATTCAATCGATCTAATTTAAATATATGTAAATAATAAATAAAAAGCACGTGACAATAAAGTAAAACAAATAAGGACTTTATAGTCGGGCAAGGCCAACAATTGGATACTTTGGCCCACCGCTCTAGTGCGGTGCAAAATTTTGTATAAGTTTTCAATATCTGTTATAGAAAACCAGAATATATCCATATAGGCGCCTAATTTTCATGATAAATCCCTATGTTAAGGAATAAAAAAAATAAATAAACCTATGTGATCCAAACTCCTTACCGGTAATTTTTTTTTTCCTAAATTACTACTACGGACAAGTTTTCAACACAAAATATTAAAAACTAACTACTAACTTTTTCTGAAGGCTCCTACCTTTCATAGCAATCTTCTATGAAGTATCATCCAAGAAATAGGCCCATATGGGTCAAATTTTGGTCAACTTCATTTTTATATCAACTTACTATGGTAAACAAATTTTCATTATAAAGCATTAAGAAATCGGCCTTTCCGGGCATATAAGGGTTCATATTCCCCGAGAATCCTTATATAAGATAGTGCGAAATATATAGACCTACGGGCTTTAGATTAGGAAAGGATGATTTCTTTACTAATTTGCTATTATAAAGCAATTTCCAGCATAAAATATTGAAAATTTGATCTTTTAATTATATCAAAATTTAATTGTCCTAAAAGGCCTGATATGATATTAAAGTTCAAAAAGTTGTCTCAGTCGGACTAAATTTTTCCTACCAATTTAGCCATGTCGGAATACTATTATTCAGCGACATTTGGAAATTTGCTGTTTTTGTCGTTATAGGAGGGGTGATCGAAAAGTGAGCATAAAATTTGTCGTTGGGTCAAAGCGTGTCAGTGTGCAAAATAATCTCAAAGAAATGCGATCTGTATGTTGACATTAGATGAACAGACGACCAGGCAGGCAGACAAGCTTGGATCGATTCAATAAGTGAGCCTGGATTGATTCGCATAATGCGTGGTGTGGTATACATGCGCACAAACTTAATATACGCTATAAAAATAACATTTACCGTAAAACGAATTTTACATGCCCATCCACCATCGAAACAACTTCTCTCGACATTTTAATGTTACACAAGTCAGTCCATTTTTTAGATATAACCTGCAGACTTTAGCTAAGCACACATATTTGCCAATGATCTTTTTTCCGCAGCATGGCTTTACCAACCGTAGCAAACACTAAATTGAATAAATAGTTTATCGAATATCTCGCGGCCATGACGAGTCGTTGATAACGTTATAAAGTACAGACAAAACTAAAATTCTGTCCTCTTCGGCATTTTTCATTTGCCCACATCCAAACGTTTTAATAATTTGCAAAATTTTCCGTAATATAGTAAATAGTAAAAAATATTTAAGTTATTTATTTAAATTATTTTTTACTATTTAATTATTTTTTGTTAATTTTGCAGTGGTCGGGAGGCACGAAATCGTGCTGAAAAGAATCGTCGTGATAGACTAAATGGCTCAATACAAGAGTTATCGACTTTGGTTCCTCATGTGGCCGAGTCGCCTAGACGAGTAGATAAAATAGCCGCCCTGAGGTTTGCTACGCACGGCTTGCGTTTAAAACATGGTAAGTCAATTTGCGTTTATATACAAAAATATATTTCTTTGAATTCATCGATCAATCAATGAATTTTACAGTATTTGGCAAAACCTCAAGCAACCATTCTCCTCAAACAACAGATGCCTTAATGAAATTATTAGATAGTTTCTTTTTAACGCTAACTTGTAATGGACAAATTGTTTTGGTCTCGTCTAGTGTTGAACAACATTTAGGTCATTGCCAGGTAATTTTCGATTTTCAAATTTAGTTTTCCATAACAGTATCAAGAAAATTATGAATTACTTCGACCTAAAGAGCACTATTCTAAACTAAGTCCATATATAGACCATATAGAAAATTTTCTGTATACTCTTTATATATACCTTAGGCGGATTTATACGGTCAAAATATTTTAAGTATAACACATCCCGAAGATCAAAATATGCTTAGGCACAAATTAATACCCACTGATTTGGAGACACTCTTTGATATACAATCTGATGATGAAATTGATGAACGTAGAGCACGTACAGAAGCCGAAGAGGAAGATATTGATCGTAGATTACGAGAGGATAAACGTAGCTTTACAGTTAGGTACATTAGATGTTAAAAGTAACGGTTCCTTAAGTAATCCCATTTTATTTAATATTTGGCAGATTAGCAAGAGCCGGTCCTAGATCAGAGCCAACCACATATGAATTGATCAAAATTGATGGTAATTTTCGGCGAAGTGATATGGCTCCGAGAGGCTTCAATCCAGGATTATGCCCCGTAAATATACCATTAATGCGTCGCGGTCGCAATCGGGAGGACGCTTTGCCATCACATGCAATAGGGGGAAACGATATTGTAAATGCTCTTTATTATTATGGGATATGCGATTGTGTTTGCTATAAATCTTTTAATATAGGAACTAATCGCCGTTGGTCGAATTGTAAGACCACCTAACATACATCGTTCTATCGAAAATCATAAATTGGAGTACAAAACTCGTCACTTAATCGACGGACGCATTGTTGACTGCGATCAACGCATAAGTATCGTAGCCGGTTATATGAAAGATGAAGTACGTAATCTTAGTCCATTCACTTTCATTCATCAGGATGATGTGAAATGGGTCATTGTGGCTCTGCGACAGAGTAAGTAAAGTCTAAATGTTTGACTTTAACTCTAATTTCCCAAGTGAAGAATATTTCTTTATACACCTATCCAGTGTACGATTGTAATAGCTCGTACGGCGAGTCTACTTATCGTCTCTTTACACGCAACGGTAAAATCATTTATTTACATACAAAGGGTTTTCTAGAAATTGAAAAAGAGACCAATAAAGTGCATTCTTTTATCTGCGTTAATACTCTGCTAGATGAAGAAGAGGGCAAGCGACGTGTGATTGATATGAAAAATAAATTTTCAGTTATTATTAATAAGAAAATACCTCAGTCATCTATTGATGTACCTGCGTCAGAAAATCCGCAACAATTGGAACGAGCCGTTTTATGCTTGATACAAAATTTACAAAAAACGACTTCTGACGAAAATATATCGGAACGGCAAACCGCAAGTAACTGTACAAAATACACGAACTGTAATCACGTTTCATATCCCGAACGTATAAATTCGAATTTAGCGCAAATACGTTGCATTAAAACACCGCCATTAGCATTAGTGCCACCGGCACCTGAAACGATAAAACCATCAATAGTGAAAAGTGTTGGCGTTGTTAAGCTGACCGCAGCCAAACATTTACGCGTTGATAATGATCAATCGCCGATCGACCTTAATACTACAACTAGTTCCAAAAACATTGATCAAGCGAAGCCAGCAGATGTCCTGAGCAATGATAATGATGATGTTAATAATATAAATTTCATGGACGAGCCAGCGTCGCATGCACGTAAACGAAAATTTAGTTATAACAAATCAACACCCGAGCCTTATGACTACAGTTTACCGGTACAGCGGAGAGGTAAAGCGTTAAAATAACATATCTAATCAAATTATTTAGTCTTTCATTTTTTTTTTGCATTCCAGCAATTGAAAGTGTACTGTCCGATTCGTTGCATCAACTAGATAATAGACTAAATCAGCAACTGTGCGCTGCAATCGAGATAAGGGACCAAGGAGAAAAACATGAAATACCTCATACAGAGCAACGCATAGCTGATATAATGGTAATTTTGCAAAAAATTGTTGAAGAAAAACGCGTTGAATTATTTCATACATTCCAAGTCATTCGGTGCCATGCGATAAAAGTGATTATTATTGACAAATTAGTGCACACGCCAGAGAGGTGATGCGAAATTTTCCACGAAAAATCCATATAAACACTTGGCGAAACAAGTGAAAAAATGGTTTTTTGTGATGAGATTGTCGCCTCAGCTTCTCTAATCGTGAGACGTTGACCAGAAATAATTAAAATTTTAATTTAATTAATTCATTGATGTCCGCTAAGATCGATTGGACATAGCGAGGAAAAGAGGGGAATTTTGTAAGGTAACTTGGCGTATTTTCACAATCATTACCATTAGTCGGTACATGGTACATACCTTTCTCTAAACTTGCACGGTACATACTTTTCATAAACTTTCGCTTGCATTCCTTAAAAGTAATGCACGAAGATAATCGCAAAAAGCATTTGATTCTTAATTTATAAACTCGTGCAAGTGCAGATCGAAATCAAGATTTGTATATCCACTAAGAAGGCACAGTAATGTAGTAGATTTTTCGAAATATCTTTACGGAAGTGAGAGTTATATTGCAACTTTATATCCCATTACAATGGATAGAATCTTTTGTTTTGTGTTTAAATACAATTTTTTTTAATTTTTTTATTGTAGAAAGAGCATAAGAAACAACGAGATATGTACTTTAATATAACAACAGAATTCGAACTTCACAGGCAGACTGAAACCAAAAGTGTACCGGCAATAGATACTGAGCTGAGTAAGGAATTCAGTAACGATACGAATTTACCGCCATGATTATTTAATTTATTTGATTGTTGTTGATTTATTCTTTAATTTAATAAAGTCAGTATCTTATTGATAATCAAAATAATAATAAGTAATGTTCCCTCTGTCCGATAAAAAAAAAAAAAAATTCACTATTGATGATTTTTTCAATTTGTCCGAAAATATGATATACATTTACAAATATGAAGAACAAATTGTGAAACAACCACACATATACCTATTAGATACAAACAATATATGAAAAGTTTTATTGTATTGTATAGGGCGTGACATGGATTATATTAAAATTTGAGAGAACTTTTTTTTTGCGATTTCCAATAAAAACATTTTAATCAAAACTTAATTGCCTCTAGTAAGATCGCGTCTTATTTAAATTAGCTTTTAATATTGTTCGCATATGAACAACTTGATATAATATGTAGAAAGGCGAGTTTATAAATTTTCCGAGAATTTTTGAATCCTTTTTTTTATTTTAAAATTCGATTTTTAAATGTGAAGAAAACTGAGATACTGATAGTTCTGCAAGAAGTTGGCGACTTTATTAAAACCTCTTAAGGTTAGTTAACTTTTCAAAATTGAACATTTCAAGATCCCAAAAATTGCACTAAGGGTCAAAGGTGCAGATTGTCTGACACGCATAGCGTATATTATAATTAATTACAATCACTTATTTACCGATACAACTATCGGGAATTCATTATATTTTCATTAATCTCAAATTATTTTCGAAAATGTAATCTATATTTTCGGACGGAGGGAATAGAAATAAAAAAATAATAAAAAAAAAAAAACTAACGAGGCTTCCTTTGTTTATATTGAAATACGTTAATCATGTTGCAGATCGTTATTTTCTGCAAGAGAACTATAATTTACTTTTATGTATTTTAATAGAATTATTCTAAAAATGAAGAAATATTTATAAATAAATAAGATTAATTTAAGTAAACGCTTCTATGTAAATATATCATATAACAGGAGATTTAGTAAAATTGGAAAAAAAAAAAAAAAACTTTTAGAAAAACAAACTTCATGCCGATGAAATTTTAGATACACTAGAGAAGAAACAGGCGAGAGAAAAAGTACGTGATTTTAATGAATTCGATTCCACTCACAATCAAATTTCAATTGTTTGACTCTTAATTCTGAACAAGGTTAACGGTTTCAATTTTTTCAAAAAAAAACAACAAAAAAAGTTTTCCAAAATTTTACATAATTATGTATGTTTATTACATATATATTTTTATAAATCATACTTTACAGCTAAATAGTTGATAATTTTAAGGAAAAAAAAAAAAAAGAAAAGAAAAGAAAAACAAAAATGAAAACGTAATAAAAGACTGCTTTATATTGATATATATGATATATATAATTAAATTAAATTAAAACATTAAAAACAACAAATGTACATATGTGTGAACACTTTAAACAACATTAGTGAAACATTAAGTGTTTGTATGTTGCCTTGATTTAATGCATGTTTTAATCCCAAATTTGTTGTAGCCCTTATTGTTGCTGTTAATACATCTATCTATATACAAATCTATTTTAGTATATTATTTATGTGAATGTCATTCATATACATATATATATATATATATAAATTTTCAATATAATACATAAATTTGTTAAAACTCATAATAGAACATTAATAATAATTGAGCAGAATTTGATTCGTTCATACTTTACGATTCTTTAAAATAAGTTTTTATTATTTTTTATATCTTTGAGGTTTTTCTTTCGGTAACTTTCTATTCATAACACGTATACGTATACATCTGTAATAGATAACCTATATAATATTGAGCTAAATAATATATTTAGATTTAATTAATAATAATTATCAATTCATATGAATATGGGTTGAAAGAAAGTAAACGATCTGTGAATTTTAACTTCCGAAAAGCTCAATATTTTTTCGGTTATCTAACATGTACGATTTTTTTCATTTTTTTCTGTTTTTATTTTGTTTTTATTTTAAATCCTCTTTCTATCGAACCATTCCTCACGTATCCCGAAAAATGATAAATATGTCTATTAAATGTATGAACAGAATTTTAGTGTTTAATCTGTTAAATGTTTGTTTTGAATTTGTTTTCATCTAAGATGTGCTAGACAAATGAAAAAGAAAACAATAATAAATATAAAAACAAACGAATCCGAAATCAATTTTCTGTAGTTTTGTTTCTTTTTTTTCTTTACGTTACGCAATTAAATCTCGCACTACGTACGTACATGCTCTCATAAGAAAATTGCATAAAAATATATTGCAGTGTAGCAAAGTAAACCAAGCTGGCCATATAACGCAGATAAGATTTAAATAAGGAAACCGATTGCCATCGAAAGTAAAGTAAAAATATTTGTCCATGACAACCTGACCGCCGAAGACGACCTAATTGTTCCAGAATGTCATAGTACAGACACACTTTGCGCACAACGAAACCCTGCGCGTGTAAATGTTTTCACAGACTATCGTACCTGAATTCAAATAATATGAGTTGAAATTAACGTCGAACCGCTTGAAAAGGCTTTTTAAATCTTTAGAAGAAAATATTCGTTTCTGAAAGAGAAAGAAATTCAGATAAAAACTTAAAATCTACTCTACTCTCCAAGTTCCTTTTATTTGATACCTATATCGCTGGTATTATTACGATAAACTAAATTTACCAGGTCAAGGTGTTCACCATATTTATTTTCGAGTTAACTCATTTTTGGGGCTGTACAAATTAATTATAATAACACTCAACCTTCTGAAGAAAATGAAAAAGAGAACATTTAATCGTTTGTAACTTTGTGAAGACGTGCCCCATTCTCTTTTTTGATTTTTTAATAGTAAATAATTATTGTCGATTCAATTTGGGGCAACAGTACAAATAACTAACTACAAGTAGTAAGTTGTACTAGACTAGCTACAAATGTACTTATTTTATTACGCTTTGTATTTTAGTATAGATAAACGTAGTCAACTTTACATTCAATAATATTTCTAGGGCTGTGAACTATTTAATTTCTAATTTTCTCGGATATATCATTTTTAAGGAATTAATAATTGAATGTGTTTAATGCGGTTACAATACAAGATTATGCTGCCATTTTTTCTATTCGTTTCATTTAAATAAGAAAAATACTGTGCAAATTCGTTATTTTTTATGTGAACAATACCGACTGACCAAGTGACTCTTCATGTTACAAAATTTAATATAAAAATAATCGAAAAAAAAAATCGAAATCTAAGATGTTTAGTTAAATATTGCATTTAATCATTGAACATCAAACTATTGGCATATAGGTTGAAATGAAATGAAAAGAAATAACAAAACGAAACTATATTGTAGTCAGTCAAAGCAAAAACTTCTCAAATGCCGCAAATTTTTTCACACTTGTTTTTTTATATGAAACGCACAAGGAGGGAAACTTTATTCAGTTCCTTCAGCTTTTAAAATAATAGTGCGATAGAGTTCTTAATAAAGCCGAAAGCCTTAGATGCTAGTGCTTTAAGACTTTAGTCTTAGAATTTATTATCTGGCTAAATTTATAATAACAATAATAAAATTATGGTGCAACAAAACTCAACGAGAGGATAGAGATAGAGGATAGTTGCTCTAAAGTTTTGAGGTGATCGGAGTGATTTTAAAAGGCAGCCACGATGTACCATTTAAATATATAATCCATGGACAGTTCAGATCAGCATGAATCTCCGACAAACTTAATGCGCTAGCTAAAAAGTTTACGTTTCAAGGGTTACAACCGATTCGTGTTTATCTTTAAAGTTTCCAATTAATTAAAAAGTTTATGTATTACTTCCAGTCTAGTTTTCAGTTTTGCGTAATGTAAACAAATAATGACTGTCCTTACTTAATAATTTCAATACTATTCGAACTTTTGTTTGCTGTTTTTAGTTAAGTTTGTTCTTTCTAATAAAAAACCGCAGCAAACTATAGCAAACCAAATTAATGCTTAAGTGCTTATTACGCTCCCTTTTTTTTGCAGTAACTATTGTTAGCGTGCACTTGCACATTCCTAGCTAGGTCGTTAATGCAGTTTAAGAAATTTTCCTACATTATCCGATATGTAATTGTATGTGAACGACATCTACGAAATCTTCTTGCTAAATAGCTGTTTATTTATATAAAATGCTTTGCAACAGCGAAATTTTAAATATTTTAGTATCGATAATTGTAAGTAAACCTCTGAGAGCAGAAGAATATTATCGAAAATTAAGTGTCATAATAGTGTTGCCTACTTTATAAAACCATCGCTTTGCAAGTGAAATTTCTGCATATAATTTTGGGAATGTCGTAATGACAATTATGAAAATGTACTAATTGTACGAAGCCCATATATTTTAAATTTTCATACAAATTTAAAATATATTTACAACAAAATTTTTCCTACACCCTAGTATAGACATGAAAATCTGCATAACGCTCGTATTCCTTTAATCACATTAACCATTTCCTGTCTATCTGTATGCTGTTCTACGAAATTGCGATTGTAAAAATTACGATAATTAAACTTTGGCAAGATTGTCTTATTTGGTCCTTCCAGATCAAACTTGAGTATGATCTGCTCGCAATAGATAAAAAACTCGAAAATTTGTAAAAAAAATGATTTTGATCACCTGATTAAGTTCAGCGCGTACAATTGGTCTGACGTAGTTAGTAACAAAAATTGGTTTTAAAACGAATAGAAGTTTCTTTATACTTCTGTTTATATCATTTCCAGTAGTGGCCAACTAAGAAAAGAAATCCTCAAAAGAATAAAAACCAGTATTTGAAATTTTTCATTTTTCATATTTGAAAAATGTGTCAAGATTTCCTAATATTTCAAATTTTAAAATTTTAAAAATCAAAATTTACTTTTAATACATATTCATTGATACGAATAAAGGCTTATCTAATTCTATCGTTCATTAGTAAAACTAAAACAGCTGGCATGATATGTACCGATAAGTCAGTCGCTACTGTAGTCATCGAAATAATTTGTGACAAATAACTCTATTCAAAATCTTATTGCTTGTTACAAAGTGCAAACCTGACCTAATAAGTGGCAGTACTATTAAGTAAATTGTATTCTCTATTCTCCAAATTAATGTTTCTTCAAAAAAGTTAAAAAAATTTACTTCATAATTTGGCAAAAATTTTAATTTATGTATTTATGAAAACTTTTGTCTTACCTGTCATAAATGTTTATAGCTTTTTAAAAAAAGAAAATATATATTAAACTAGAAGCAGTAAAATCCTAAAAGTAATTGGCATAGACGCTTCATTTTAAATATTTCAGTTGAAAGAAAAAAACCATAAAAAAATTTTCTTATATTACGCAGACACGGATATTGAAAGAAGAAATGAGCACGGTAAGAAGTCAGAAAGGTAATAAAAACAGGTTATGATTATTAATGAAATGTTCACGATGTTAGATTTCCAATGTGGAAAATTTGTCACCTCAAACCATCCGTCAAGTGATGAAGGAAATGCAAAGCATGGTCGAGCATCCTTTAGAAGGGATAAAGATTCAAATCAATGATGCCGATGTCACCGATATCCAGGCATTAGTAGATGGACCGGCTGGTACACCATACGCCGGCGGCATTTTTCGGGTTAAATTAGCGTTAGGCAAAGACTTTCCACAATCTCCACCAAAAGCCTTTTTCTTAACAAAAATTTTTCATCCAAATGTTGCTAGTAGTGGTGAAATTTGTGTCAACACTTTAAAAAAGGACTGGAAGCCTGATTTAGGCGTAAAACATATTTTATTGACTATTAAATGCCTTCTAATTGTACCCAATGCTGAATCTGCCCTAAATGAAGAGGCTGGTAAACTATTGCTCGAACGTTATGATGACTATTCACAGCGAGCAAAAATGATGACCGAAATTCATGCGCAAGTAAGAACGATATATATATATATATATATATATGCTATGTATATGTATGCATATGTATGTTTTCACCTATACGTTTCCAATTAAAGGCGGCCAAAACAGCCGACACCAAAGATGATGATGGACCCAGTTCTAAGAAGCATGCTGTTGATAAAAAATTGCAAGATAAGAAGAAAGAGAAATTAATCAAAGAAAAGAAGCGCATGCTTAGACGATTATGAGGCAAATGTTTATGCACTGGACGTTCCTAAATTTTGAACTGTTCAAAGCGCGCTGAAACCCTGACCTTTGTGTTATGTTTCCCTTTAATCATACATACATCACATTAAATATTCTTGCATCATCTACCCCTAGAAAATACTTGCTAGGCTATGCTATTAAAACACAAGAAACTTGTTCTGTCTTAAATAGTCTTAGAACGTATACCAGTGGACTCGAAAACCTTTATAAGTCAAACCTATGAGATACAATCACTTTCATTCATTTGTAACAATTAGAAGCAACATCAGTAAGAATTTTAATTTTAATTTAATGAAAACGTTTCTCATATGTTATACGATATTGTTTGTGTTAAAATCAACATTTAAAAAAAGAATACATATATTTACACATTGTACTATATAAAAAAATGTAATGTATTTAAAAAAAAAAAAAAAAAAAAAAAAAAGACTTAAATGCAATGTATTTTGAAAGGTTTCGATAGACATGTTTGGTTATGGCGAACTTTGCCCAGCACTCTTAAAAGCACTTAACGAAAGATTTGCGTAAAGTGTCTAATAATGATTTAAGAAAAAAAAAAAGAAACAAATAGAAACAGCTAAATATCTTGTTGGCCAATTTATGATCATACATGGTCTCTTACCTGTGTATCCAACATCATATTTACGTCGTACGTACGTGCAATTTCGGTACACACAGAACAACGCTGACGTATAAATAAATGTTTAATTTTATGTTAATTGACATTGTTCTACGCCTGGGGATTATAATCTGAAGAAAGTTTTTAACTAAATTTTCTCATTTTTTCAAAATTATTTTATTTTATTTTCGACACACCTTTATAAAATCTATTTGATATGTTCCCCGATAGCGTCAAACAATAAATGCACGTATATGATATTGTGTGTATTGTTGCACACAATACGGCGACAAACGTCATTCATATTTTATACACGTATATATGTATACGTAAGTTCAATGCATTTGTGTGTATAAATATATATTTGAGATCAATAAAAATACCGCATGCACGTTGGCGGCGATTGCTGCTGCTTGCATTATTGTTGTTTTTGTCTGCGTGTTTAGTTATTTTAGCTCTTGTGTATTATTTTTATGCATATATTTCTTTCAGTAAGGCTCGAAAAAGCAAATACATGTCAACCGCAATGTTAAGAACAGTGATTTTAAAGGTTTAAAAAATGTTAAGAAAAAGTCAAGAGCTTATAAAATAACAACAAGCAACTAACTACATGACTAAATGAATGAAGAAACGTAAGAAGGAACGCACGAATGTAGGGTCGAATTGTTGAAACCAAAGCGAAATATATGAAGATCACAAAAGCTAGCCAGAGGATCGATTGGTATCATCTCTTCTCAAAGTTTTAATAAAGCTTTCCAATTTGAAATCGACGATAATTTGATTTTAATTGAATTTAATCTTTAAAAGTTTATTGGAAAGACATATTCTTAGGCCGTAGAGCGGGGAAAATAGAAAAACGCAACTTTCGATTAAAATAAAGGAAAAATCTTGCTGTCTCTATCTTTTGATGAAGGGTATATCTGAATGTATATATATATATGATTGTTTGTCTATTTGCGTAGGCGCGACTTTTATGTAGTTCCAGATGTGCTGAAGATCATCTTTTCACAACAAGTAGCCATGTCCGTTGGAATAAAGATTTTATGATTTATTTTTCAATCTTGTGAGAGTAATGAACGTAGTATAGATAAACTTCATTACATTTTCAAGACCCAGATGTTGAACGAGCTTGTCATGGGAGAGTTAAAAATATATGAGCCAATATTAGGTCACTTTAGAGTCGACTCAAAATTTCGCTATTTATTTTTAAAGGCTTTCAGCGGCATAAAAGTATAATAACAGAGGTCGAGTGAAGATATTCGCATTATTGTAAAATATAATTGGGAAGTGCATTATAACAATGTAATGTTACATTAAATATTGGAAATGAGTTACAGTAGCTTATGTGCTATGATGGTATATATATATATATATATATATATATATATATGTGATACACACAAGCATATATCGCAAAATGCAACATACAGAGCGATATTAATCCTAATCTTATCAGTTTTTTTTTTTTTTTTTTCGTTTATAACAAAGCATATCAAGATGTGAATCTCCATCACTTATGGGAATGATGGGAGTAATTAAATTTGCTATTTATATATCCAAATAAGCTCTATATATATATATATATGTATATATATAAGATATTATGTATAGGCCACATATATTTCCGGAAATGTAATCTAAAATAATTAAGGAATTTACGTTCAAAGTTCAAATGAGCCTCAAAGATTTATCCTAGTTAGATTAGGATTAAATAAGGCCACAATTTTAATACGATTTTAATATGATTGCCTTACTTAAAAACATCTGTCAGTTACCCTACAAGTATGTAGGGTATGTACGGTATGCCGTATATCTTTTTAATCGGTCGAAGGAAAGTGCCTCAATTATTTCAAATCTCTTTGACTGCCTCTTATTAGAATTTTCAAGGCCACATTATTCAAGATGCAAGCATGAAAATTCGTAGTTACATTTCAATTTATTTACTTTTAAAATGAACGCACAAAACGTCTATTCAAAATGATTCCAAAAAGTTGAAAGGAGCAAAGAAAATTTTTTACTCTGCTCCTTAGCCGAGAAGAAATTTGTAAATATATTTTACCTTCAAATTATCCTAATAGACAGACATGTTATATAGATATATAACGGTATATAAAGAAATAATATATATTTTAGATTGAGTGTTTGAAGCATTTTGAAGTTACCCTTCAACTGGCCGTTGATATCATTTGTGCTAGGTCTTAGCTTAACATCTTCTACAGTCTGCAAGTTACAATTTATGTCTATTGTAGCTATTAATAGGTGGTTCTTCTCTGTCTTCTCACTAAAAATTTTCGATGGTCACGATGAATGTGATACAAGCTAGAATTTGCAAGCGTGTTTTGCACTATTCCCCTCGTTATGGAGGCCATCAAGCACAATGTCTGCAGCGATTAACAAAGCTAAGTTCCAGTTCTCGTCATAGTAATTTTTGCGATCGAAAACTTTGCAATGAGAAGATGGTAGACAGATAGGCTGGCAGATAGAGTTTTAGATGATTTCAGAATTTCTACAGTTTACCATTTCTTTAAAGCGTTTTTCAGGAATTTCCAGCAATCAAAAGGTGGTGGGGCGTAACCCATAGTGGTTCAGAAAGTAACGAAATTCATATATTGATCTTATATAAGATCCATTGGAAGATTCTTCATATTCATCACATAAAATACGGACAATAAGTCAACGTCACCTAGAACTAAACTAACTTAATTAAATGGAGATAAGACAAATCATTCATTCTTGCTCTCTCGTCCATTTCAAAAATAGGATCTTACAAGAAGCTTTCAATATCGGGTAAAAAGGTTTTTGATCATGTTACACTTGAAGATTTTTATTCTTCTATATTCGTCTATACTTCGCTTGAATAGAAGTTCGAACATTTTATTGGGATGAAAAAAGATTACATCTAGACGCACGTTTTACCCGTAAAGATCTCTCTCTCTTTCTCTCTGGTCCATAGTTTATATGAAATATGGTGTGGTGTGGTTCGCTTTTATACCTATACCTAGCAAAGAAAGACATGACACTTTACATCACAGGAGTATATGCGTATAATCTTTATTAACGTAAAAGTTCAAGGCATTTTAGCCACAACCATCCGTCCCGCTTTTAAAGCTGCGAATTTCGTAAAGAACCGCAAAAACTAAAACTTTTGTTAAGCTTCGATTCTCAACAAATACACCTACACGCAAAATAGTTATTCAAGAAAATATTGAAATTATTGGTGCAAACAGGTATGCATCCGATATTTCGATATTTATTTGAAATGACCGTAATCGGCTTAGGACAAAAAAAAGCCCTTAAAGTTGATAAAGATTAATCTAAGATTTAGTGCAAAGATTTCTCAAGAATATCTAACGTAAAAATGATCCCAAAACGGTAGACTTATCCGGACACTTGGCTAACTACTAACTACAAGTTCCCATATTGGCTTGAGATCTTTGATGCTAAAGCGAAAAACTATTAAACTCAATGTCAATGTCAATGATTCGATTTAGTAAGAGAGAGACCAGTATTTCTTTTACATATGACGACAAAATTGAGAAAATGTTTCGTGATCGAAGTATATCCAAGTGGAATTGAATGTCACGGGCAATATATAGGAATATCTTACGATCAGTGTGAAACATTATTATCGCATCAATTTAAGCACACTGTGCGCTAGTAAGTTAAAATTTAATGGAACGCTTTCATATAATAGGAAGGGAGCGGAGCGGATTGAAAAAATAAAGATAGACGTTACTGTTGTTGTTTTGATTCGATCGAAACAGTTCGTCATATTACCATTACATTGTTAAGAGTTAAATCAGTTGTGACGCGATACTTGCGCGATCAACACATACGATCTAAAATATTTTGCTTAAGTTAAGCAATCATAAAATTCAAGTCGAATTACGCGATCAAATGTTAAAACGTTTCCATTTTGTGTAAGAAGGAAAAAAAAATCAAAAAATCCAAAAAAATTATATAAAAATAAATAAATCATAATTATAAGAAATATATAAAAGCATAAAACAAAGAAAAAAAAAAAAATATCAATAATAATAATTTATTAGAAGGTGAAATATTTTGGGAACAAATAAGAACAAAAACAAAACAAAATTATAGGGTCTTACAATGGCGCAAGTGCAAACGCAAGAACAAGCAGCTAAAGAGTTTGAGTTTTACAAAAGAATTGTTATTCTTTTTTTGTTTTATTTTATTTATTTTATTTATTTATTTATTTATTTATTTTTTTGTAATGAACATCTGAATAGTTGCGTTAGGCTTTCAAGCATGAAATTAATGCTGTATGGTGATAATTACTTGATTTACCGCATAAATCCTATTGTTTTGTTATATCGATCATCATCTACTCGATCTGCTATCAAAAGATGAACAAACGTATTGAGAATAAATTGACGACTGCGTACTGAAGCGTTCCTATACATATTTCTACGCATTTTCTTTTCTTTTCTTTTCTCTTTTTTTGTTTTTTTTTTTCTGTTTTCTTCTTTTTTGTTTTTGTTTGTAAAAAGATCACCAAAAACAGAAACGAAGCAAGTTTTCATGATTATTTCAAAACATGACTAAAAAATCAGACGTTCATGCGTTAAGTTAACCAAAAATATCATAATAAAATTGATACAGTATAACAAACATTCTACAACTAACTCATGGAATATTTACTTACATATATACACACATATACATATATATATATATATATATACACATATACATATATACACATATACATATATATTTATGTGGTAATAAATAAACACACAACGTACGATAA